ATACAACTGAAAAAAAGACTACCATCATGAGATCCAAGAGACCTTTAAATTGTTAGTTACAAGTAGATACTTCTTTTTCTGAAATTCTGAACTTCCGGGGTTTTTTTTAGACAGAAAAAGAAAAAAAGAGGGAAAACAGTGCATTTTTTAATCTAATCAGAAACACTGGAAAAAGTGTTGAACGTCTATATTAGTTGAAAACAATTTAACCATTTTTAAATGTTTGCTAGACAGAACTTAAAAAGAAAGAAAGTAACTAATAACTAAATACTTAATCAACAAGTATGCACACAGGATGCCCAAGCTGACCACACATCAATTTAGATATACTGGAGACATGTATAAGGTAAACAAGTATGATAGCTTTAGTTTGTACTCTGAATATCCTAATAAAGTTCCTTTCAAGTAGATGAAACACTACTAAAACAGGACCACCATAAACAGGAGGAGTACTTTTAGACTTTCACCCCCATTAATGTGAAAAGTGGCTGGTGTCTGGAGGAAAACCAACAATAACACAATATCACAGTGATGTTTTAATGATTCCCACTTGGAGCTTGTCAGCTCAGGAGTCAGTTGGAGCAGCAGCTCTGGAGCTGGCACACATTCAGACTCTTACTTAAGCAGACATTAACAGGGTGGATCATTGCTGACGAGGGGGTATGAAACCATTTTTGCAATAAAGGAGGGTCTTTTTAAATCTGTACTATTACGCCAACACCCACAGTCATTCTCGAACGACTCCACCCTCTCAACTATAAACTAAACAGTCATACAGTATGTTTTAACCTCAAGGCATCTAATGAGGCAAACAGGCTACATACTAAATCCCTAAACTCCTCTCTAACATCGAATTGCAAAATTGTTCTTAAACTGTCTAAATACCAAACATCTTATACAGCAGGAGGCTTTAAAGAAAGAAAGAAAGAAAGGAAGAAAGGCACAAAGATGTTCTGGCTGTATGTGTTAAGAAACGATAGTCCAGAAAAAGGAGGGATGGGAAAAGCTGTTAAATCCACCAACAGACCGTCTGGACTTAGAGGGCTTCACAGCACTGGCCATGAAATCTCCAACACACCACTGTCAGCTGGCAGGAGTCTGCACGCACACACACTCACACGCACACACAAGCAGCCCTGGGATTAATCCTGCATTTGGTTGGCATCCACCAGCAGGCTCATGTAGATCCAGCTGAATATCAAAACATATTCGGAAGGGATTTTTCAGGACAGGAATTAACAGCCGCAGAACCTAAAAGAGCTCAGATAAAAACACTACCTCCAAAGTAGGACCAACGGCTTTTTCACACGCAATGATCACTGTTAGGAACACGGGGAAATACCTCCTTTTAATGTACATACTATAGATTAGCTACACATATGGCTGTAGATGGAGAAAAATGCAGAAGAAGGTGCTCTCAGTTTAATGTACTGAAGCCGCTTTAATGTCAAAATCTAGAGCGTTTCCACACTGACACAGTGATAAAGACACTTCAAAGTTTGATAACAGAACTGACCTTGGATGCTTGAGGTTAACAAACAGGATAAAACATTTCTGGGGAAGACGTCCCAGTAATTTAGAGACTTGGGGGAAAGTTTTTTTGAGGTCATTCAGCAAGAGACTCTTTCACTTCTTAGAGTTCATTCAAAGCACTAAACACGGAAAAGTACTAGCCCATGTGTAAATACATAATGCAACAAACCTATAAAATATGAAACTTGTTTGAAATATTCATTTCAGTGGTCAGAAGGAAAAGACTCACACTTGGGCTAACTGCAAGGGGGCTTTAAAAGCACAGGAAAAATCTTACTCCTTGTGAGGCTAAATATGGACAACCAGGCTGTAATCAATCAGCGCACACAAACCTTTAAAATGGTCAGAGTTTAAAGGACTGTATAAATATGTGTCCAAGACTTCACAGAGGAATCTCCCCTAACTATGGGAGAGGCTTTCTTCACGACAGCTGGGAAGGAAGCCAGGCGCATACACAGCATGCACTGGGGCTCGTGTCACCAGCTGAACCTACACATGTCCAGACAGGTCGCCTTTCTTATCTTACACTTTCATTTAGACAGGCTGATTCCTACAAGAGTGGCTGCTAGTGTTGCGCGATACTTCAAATATTATTATCGAACCAATACCAAGTAGATACATGGTGTATACATGGTAGAGACTAGAGCAGGGCGATATGACCAAAAATATTTATCACGATATACATTTGAAAATTTGCGATAACGATATAACTGACGATATAATTGACACTAGACAAAATACTTTACAACTCCACAACTTTATTAGTGCAAAAAATAAAAAATCGATGTATTTTCACTTAAACAAGCAGCTGTTTTTTTTATATCCATTAAGTTATATAAAAATGTAACAGTGCAAATGCAAATTCCTCGCTGACAGTTTAACCAAAAGGCATTTCCAGTGGAAACTAGCTGACATATCCTCAGCATAACCATGTATAATATCCACAAAACTTAAAAAGAGGTTATACACACACAATACGGTAATATTATGTTGAAGCACAGTACGTATCACTCCGCGAGGCTCCTGCCTACGATAGCCGTAATGCTCCGACAAGCCATCAAGCGGTGCGGCTTTGTAGCTTAGCAAAGTCGTACTAAAACATTTGACAGATTTTTGAGCGCTGTGTACCACATAAAATCGTTTCGAGGTCAGTAAACACAACCAGAATTCATACATAAGGCACACGGGATTATAAGGGGCTCTGTCGATTTTCAGAAAATCAAAGGATTGATTTTAAGTGTGCCGTGTTTTCGAAAAAACACAGTAATAACGACAGCCCGCTAGCATGCGCTACCAAAAATAGTGCTTTGTTGTGTATCTGACGGACGAAAGCTAAACCAGTTCCACACCACTGAAGTTGCAGCATTTTTACAAACCAGTTCTGGTTCATCTGTTTCGTTCAACGATCCGCTTTCGCCCTTCTCATTCTCCGTCGCCGCCATGCTTTTTCCGCCATGTGCGTATTGGACGTACAAATACAGCTTATTGCGCCAGCATGCATCTGCTCTTATATAACTATCATTAGCTTACAGCTTTAAGTGTTTAAGGTATGTGCTAACTAAAAATAAAGACAAGATGACAGTTTATTGAAGTTTATTGAAATTTGCAGATTATTCATTGGAGTTTAATAAACTCAGCCGTCTGCTCCTTGCTATCTAAAATATAACAGGACACCGGAGTATATTCTCGAGCATCTCACACTTCTGATAATCAGCTGTCTGCTTGACGTTTATTCAGCTGTGTAAAAACTATAACTTTAATCTCAGCCAAACCGATTTACTCAGGAACAAATAAAATACTGAAAAAAGCCAAACAATAACATTTTTAAGTTATCTAAGGCTACGTTCACACTGCAGGTCTTGATGCTCAATTCCGATTTTTACATAATAATGTAAATAACATTATAATTGGCGTCTGTCTCGTGTCAGTGACGTAAAAGACGGATTTAATGCGACATGACCGTTCAAACAGCAGTCGCTTTCAAAAACATCGGATATGTATCGGATTCAGTACCACATACGAAAGTGACCCAGATCGGATTTGAAAATATCGGATTTGTGCCGTTCACACGGTCATACCATGATCGGATATGGGTCACATAGGGTCACAGCTTCTTCTTCTTCAGGGTTTAACGGCAGCTGGCATCCTTGTACATGCAGTGCTGCCATCTTCTGTTTCAGTCCGTTATTACACTCTTAAATCCTGCTACTTATTCCTGCGTCTTTTGGGATCTTAAAAGCTTCAAACGACGCGTCGACTATTAAATCAGTCGTCGACGATTTTGTTAGGCGACGTAATCGTGACTAGTCGACTAATCGTGGCAGCCCTACTGCGTATGAAAACAAAAGCACTGCGCATGCACGTTTTACCTACATTCTATCGCAATATTTCATTTTCTTATCGTTGCCCAACATTATACTGGTATTACCGTGAACAGTATGATATGGCCCAGCCCTAAAACAAAGTATAGATTTTATTCTGCTGGTACTGATTCAATCAAATATCAGCCTCGGTATCGATACTATTGATATTTGCATCGGTCAGCCCATCGGTCACTAGCAGCTGCTGCTTCAGATGTAACCACGGACTTTTGGGATTGGGTAGTTGACAGGTTTTAAGGGGGCTTTTGAGAGCAGTTGGCTTGTAAAAGTTATTTTCCACTGATTCAAAATGAACAAAATGAACCTTTGACCATGAGGCTGACTGACTGCAGTGAGTCAGTATTTCTATTTATCGTTGAACCTAATGACCATTTTAAGTAGTGATGAACGAGTATAACCATTTCCCTATTAATCAACGAACTTAATCTCAACAAAGATATGTAAATATAATGAAAAGCAGCACATCTTCACATTACAGCAGCGGCAAATACTTAACCTTGTTTTTGTTACACCAATTATTTGAGACACAACAAAATTGAATAACCCAAACACACTCTAGCAGTCACTGTGCAATCAAACATTTTTCACATCTGCAATTATCCGTGCATGTTCTTACCGGTAACATCTCATTTTCTTTGCTCCTTTCTTAAGCAAGGCTGATTAATGGATTGCACGTACTGGTGTACATTTCTCCACTGCCATTCCTTAATCAGTTTTTTGATCTCGGTAATCTTTCACCATCTTATTTGTAATCATTCCAGCAGCGCTTTGGCAAGAAATCAAATGCCACGCCAATAAAGCATATTCAATTTAAGTTAACTTGTATTGACTGGCAGGCTGGCTGACCTCCCACCATATATCACTGCACCTCCCCCATTCTCTCCATGCTTCATCCTGCTCAATTACTCATTTGAAATCAGTGCCTGAAAAACACATACACGCCTTGCAAGAGTTCTAAAACAACCCAAAAAATAAAATAAAAAAGAAAATATGATTGTAAAATGACATAAAAGAGGTAGAAAATGAAAGAACAGAGGGAATTATAGGAATTAAGGGAAGAAAAAATAGAGAAAACGCATGACTCACCTGTGCGCTCTATGTAGTCGACACATTTCTCGATGAAAAGTGGGATGGGGCGATCCGGGGTTACTAGGTTCTGCAAGGGAACGCCAAAGTAGTTGCTCTCCCAGGTTCTTCGAGTGGGTGGGTACAGCGGTTTGGGGGGCTTGGAGGATTTTGGCTAAGATAGCAAATAAAAAAATGAAAAACAGAGATGAGATGGCAAAGATCACAGGGTGTATGAAGATAATTGAATGCAAAATAAAATAAATAAATAGAAAAAATAGTAGTGGGTGAGGAAGGAATGATGGGGGAGAAGAGAGGATAATAAATAAGAGCAAGTTGAGAAAAGAGGAGGAATTCAATAGAAGAAAAGAGGAAGCAGAGAGGAAAATGAAAACGTGGAGAAGTGAACAAAAGGTTTAAAAAAGAGATTGAAGACAAGGGGTGGAAAAATAAAATGGAAAAACAGTAGGAACAAAACCGGGAAAATGACATAAAAAAACAGTAAAGGAATGAAGGGGCAATTGAGAAATAGACACCAGGGACAACAAAGATGGAGGAGGAGAGAGGGTGAAGAGGAGGCAGAACATTATCACAGGAGAAAAGGTGGAGGCGGAGGAGGGTAATCGGGGAATAGATCAGAAAGAAAATTAGTGGGATGAAGGGCATTCGAGTGGGAGACAGGATGTAGAAGAAGACAAGGAACACCAAAGATAAAAACAAGAGACAAAACAAGTCATTCAGACTGAAGCTGGGATGTGTAACAAGGTGCAACGTTAGCTTTGATTTCCCACACTCTTCTGCTCTTCAAAGTGTTGTCATGCCTACAGCAGTTCGAGATTCACTCTAATTGGCCAGAATGGTGACTAAACACCTTCCGTTTTGTACTTCCTGGTCTGGCTTTCGCTCTCCTCTCTGATTATTTAAGATGGTTTGAATATTCCAACAATTCCCTTTTATGATGCCCATGTAGTGCCGGTGGCTCTTCCTCTACTGATTTGCACTTTATTATCTGATCTGTGCTTCCATGGTTGCGGACTTGCTCTGAAGCATTTTTATGTGTTTTGTCTGTGCAAATAGTCTTGAGAGCTTGAAAAAAAAAACCTCAACTTCTTTAGGTTTTTTTGAAGATGTTTCAAGACGTTTTTGTTTCCAAGGTGTAATAAAAAAAAACGTGTGGGTCATTCAAGTTATCAGCCAACAGGTGAAACAACTGTGAGACATTGCCCCACCTCACCATCAAGTGAGTCACTGAGGTCACCTGAGGCAAGGTGTGAATGGGGGTTGCAACACAGGGGAAGGCATCACAGGACTGCACTGTAGATGATTGATAGCTACTGTCACAAGCCACCACCTCTGTTCAGTGATGGTCGCTAAAAGTAGGTGTAGATTTCCACCTTTGCTCCTCTTTCAAACCATCTGTTTTCTCTTTTCAAAAAGTGAACACAAAGGTGTGTTCTTTCTCCTTTAAGCAGACATGTACAGCTATTCTGTTGATGTGCTATGCGTTTGTGGAGTGGCTGTTTGGTCTCTCATATGTAGTTGTCTGAGCACTCCTCACTGCACCGCACCACATACACTATGCTGTTTAATTTGAGGAGCACAGCCCCCACTAGGGGTTTACTGGAACATCTCCATTAGATGTTCTAAAAATGTAGAAGTCCCTTGGGAAGAGAGGCGAAACATCTTCCAAAAAAACCCTAAACAAGTCCAGTTGCCTTCTTTTCAAGACTACAAACATCTTCAATCAAAAGCAGATGTCCCTGCTTAAGAATTTTTTTAAATGACAATGTTTGTTTTAACAGTTCTCAAACATGTCTGCAGAATATTTATCCACTCTGATCACCTAAAATTTACTTTGGAACACAAAATGACATTAACAGTACCTCCATTTCCCGCCTGTAATATATCACAAATAGCGCTATACCTGTAAGTAATTAACTAGGAATTTATATACTGAAGTCTGTTCATGTGTGGGCGTGAGCATGCATTGCATACTAATGCATGCTTTTAACTTCATTTTAAACACGGCTGTTTGATTTGTGCATGCGTGATTTTAAAATTTTCAGCTTTTCACCACAATAAAATGTTGCTCTAACAGTAATAATGTGCACAAAGCATTTTCTTCTTGGTTCTAGGGAACACACCATGTCTGGATGTCGTCAGAAGTTTCAGGCAAGCCTTTAAAGAGCTGTCAAAGACACAGTCTTTGCTCTGAAATTATACAGACACCAACTGTCTTTAACAGTGTGTCTTTTATCAAGCACCTTTATTGCTTGTCTAGGGCCTGCAAGGTGTGGAGGCTCATAAACTACTTTAGCAATGGGGCCAATCAATAAATTATCAAATTAGTTTGTTCTCCAGATGAGTCTCAGGCCAACAAAATTCGCTCACACCCACACACATCTGCTCACCCCTTACTATATGCAGTCTTTTCTTTACCCATGCACTCTATCAGTCTCTCGCTCTCTCCCATTTTCAGTGCAATAAAATGCTATTTCACTCATTCTCAGACAGAAAAAAAATCTTTTGTTTGACCTCCCTGTTCTGTAGAGCATTTTCAAAGCATCTTATTTCCAAAAAAAAAGGAAACAAAATAAATGTGATTCTTCAAAAGTCAATCTATCATAACAGACAAGTCTCACCTTCTTGGATTCTTTTGGCGTCTTGGGCGTCTTCTTCTTTTTCAGCTTCTTGTCCTCCTGCTCTGGGTCGGAGGTGATTGCAGGATTATCAATCCCACCCTTCCAAGGGTCGACGGGAGAGAGCAGCGGGTCCTCCTCGCTGCCCCGATGGGCTCTTCTGTTTTTCTTTTTCTGAGTGGCCGGGCCAGTCTCCTCTCCATCACTGTCCGAGTGGAATCGTCTTTGGTAGGCTTTCGTCTTGCTGAAAAGGATTTTTGAGCGATCTTTATATTTTGATGGCCGCCTTGCAGCCTGGGATTTCCGATCAAACCCATTCTCTTCCTCTCCTCCTCCGTGGAGAATGTGTAACCCACCAAAAGAGTTCTTTATTTTGATCAGGCGGTTGTGTGCATCTTCAGGCACAGCATATATGTCGTCATTGTGGAAGCCCCTGGGTCTGAGCAGGGTGTCCACAGGGTCTGCATAGTTGTCTGATGGCTCCACATCTTCAGTGTGCATCACTGGGGCACGTGGCATTCTTCGATTACTTCGCATACCAGCCTCAATGGTTTTGAGCAGGTTGGGGTCCAGCTTTTTAACATTAGGCCTGGGGAGCACTGGTTTGGGCCGGACGGGTGGAGGCACTTTGTGGTTGCGTTCATGGTCTCCGACAGGTGTGCTATGGACTGGGTACTCATTGCCCTCGAGGTCGATCCTGTATTTAGCCCGCTCACTGGGTGTGGGGAGAAGCTGAACATCATCGCCTATTGGACTATAAGGTGGAGGGGCCTCATTGTCGTCGTCGGACTCTGGGTAGTAAGTGTTGTAAGCTGGGGAGTGGCTATGGGGAGAGGTGGGGAAGACATCCTCACTGGCTCCTGTGGTGCACTCACGTGACGAGCTGTCAAACAGGAAGCAGCTCTCAATGTTAGGCTTCTTCTCTAGCACTTCATTGAAAAAAGGGGTGAAAACCTCAGTCTGTCGATGATACTGGGACAGCGAGTAGAGGGCCGTAAACTTGGCAGCAATCTCTGTGGCAATGTGCTCCCCCTCGGTCATCAACTCCTTGATGGCATCATTCTCAAAGAAATCCGCCTGGCTGTCTGTGATTGCCACCATCTGCACGGGGATTACATCCTGGACTTCTGCCAGGAAGGCTCGCAGGGTCGCCATGGAAGCTTTGCGTTTGGCAGAGTAGACCAAAATGTAGCCATGCACTAGTTCATCTTTACGAACACCAATGGCAGAGTGGTAGGAGAGGACGGTGACCTGGATCCTCCTCCTGCTGTCCCCTATGATCTTATCCAGTATCAGTGTGTTGCTCTGACCAGGCTGTCCAGCGCTACAGCAATGCGAGTCTAGAAACGGCGAGAGGATGAGGTCAACGCTGAAGGGATCCCAGCACATGGCGCACATGACTATTCTAAGGTCCATCTCTGACATGTCTTTGATACATGGCAGTGGGGCCAAGACCTCAAAGCTATGCTTTAGCCCCTCCAGCACTGCTCTGAGACCCTGCTTAATTTGGAACTCAGTAAATTTGCGAGGAAAGGCTCCGGAGGGGATGTCGACAAAGGTGCACTGCAATTTGTTTGCCAGCTGCTGACCCTGGTGCCTCAAGATGGGTATGTTTTTACAAACACTGTCTCTCTGATTTGCCAGGATGAGAATAAAAGGGAGCGGCTGAGCAAATCTATCTCGCCGACTCTGTGCTATCTCCGCCCTTATCCTGCCTATGCAATCGCCAATAGAGTTAAGCGACTCTATTGAGTTGAACACACAAAAGCAGCCGTGTGGCTTAAAAGTGGTGACCCATGTGTGGCTGAAGAGCAAAGTGGAGTTGACGTCCACAGGAAGAAGCTCCAGTTCATAGATTTTACCATCTAGAGTGTACTCATCGTCTGTAGACTGTGCTCGGATCTCATTGGCTAGGTCCTGTGAGAGACCCTCCTTTCCCAGGAGGCAGAGGTTTATTTTATCGATGTTGGCACTGTTATAGTAAAGATTAGAGCGTCCGTGGTCGAGCTGTACCAGCCTGTTTGCTAAAACTTGCTCCACTTTCAGATCCACACAGTTCTGCCCGCTCAGGCATGTCTCCTTAGTGGGATGATAAACAAACCCAATGTGTTTGAGGAGGAGCGACTCTCTATCTGGGGCAAGTTTCTGCAGTGCTCTGTATCTGGGCTCCTCATTCAGCACACTGTGAATTTCACTCATCTTGTCACAGCTGGGGGTTGCATTCAGGTCCAAGTCATAGAATAACTCGGCGTGCTCGAAAAGCATTTCCTGAAAATCCTCTTTAGCCCTTTCAACTATTTCCTGCTGGTGCCTACAGTAAACATCCCTCCTATCTGATTCCGTGATGTACTTGTAGGCCTCATCCTCCATGACAAAGCACATGACTTCCTCCCAAGGCTGCCCTGGAGTGATAAAATGAACCCTCTCCAATGTCTTCTTGAACCTCTCTTTCATTTCCCCCCTCCTCTTCTCAGACAGAAGGTGCTGGACGTGATTATGGTAAATTCTCTCACCGTCCGGTGTATCAAGAAGGTCAAAGGGTATCCTACGGTCACTGTTATCAATATGGTCCGTCTCGTCCCACGGTGTATTTTCCAGTATCACAAACCAGTACTGGAAATCAGACCTGTTCCGGATCACACTCTGTGCCTCGGGCCATGAAAGGTGTTCAATCTCGTCCAGGTTATTGAGGATGTTGTTAAGGGTTTTCGGTAGCGTCGTCAGATACTCCTCCCTTCTCCTCTTAATGTGCTCCTGTTTCAGTTGTGCAATGTGCTTTGTGAACATGTTGCGGGCCTTCTTGGTGCCCTCCAAGGTAATGAACTCATGATAGTCAGACTGCCCCTTTAGATTATTCATCACAGTTTTCCAAGTGATGTGATAATCTCTAACTGAGTGTACCATCAATTTCTCAAATCTATCTGTTGCTGAGGCAACAAGCTGACGTTGGATTTTATAGGCCTCCAGGTATGGCACAGTTTTTGGCTTCCCTCTTGTTTTATCCAGCTGCTGGATTAGGGCGTTGAAGCAAAGCTCTATGTTGACATTGGAGCGTGCTGACGTTTCAATTAGCATCAGGTTCTTCTTACTGGCAACAAAGCCCTGCAGGTCCCTCAGGTACTGGTCTACACACTCATCACATTTCGTGGCAGCAACAACAATAGGCTTCTTTGACTTGACAATTTGAGAGTAAAGGCTATTGACAAATTTCATTTGGTCATCAAACTTCCTGTTGCAACCCTTACTAACATCAATGCACAACAAAAAGGCATCGATGTTTAGCTTCCCATCAGGCATTTGCTTCTGATCAAAGTCCTGCTCCAAGCCCAGCTGGTCTGTGCAGATGTACATAAGCTTCTCTGCTGACTGGAGCTTGGTTGCTGCTGCCCGCTTTGTGTATGGCTGCAAGTTCGTACTCCGATGCGGAAGAAACGTCTGGTCATCGATGAACTCCGTTTGTTCAATGATTTGGATTTTATAGTCCAATCCCTCATCCCCTCGATGCGACACCTCTCCCCAGTACAAGAAGTGGTCGTTGTTAACTACACGACCACCAAAGTCTATCGTGCTGAGCACTGAGGTGTGCTCCGAGTAGTAGTTGTCTGCATCTGGACGCACATATCGGTTGCATAGGCAGGACTTCCCCACGCCACAATTTCCCTTCTCTTTCTCCGTCCCCGAGAGGCCAACCACGCTGACGGCGAATGTTGGGGGGCGTGCATCCTTGTTCTTGGCCATTATATCCCCCCACTCATTGCTAAACTAGTTACTCTCAGGAAGAAAAGGTCATGATATCATCCCAGGTCTGCTTGTCAGTGATACAGAGATGCATTCATTTTCATTTTCCCTGGTTCCAGTGAATGCTCTTCTCCGTATATATCTCGGTTTCTATCCTGGATCTTATTCAAGCTGGGATAGAGCAGCCCACGGCTCCTTTTATCACCTGCCTGCAAGATATGGAATTCAAAATTAGGAGAAGATACAAGCAAATCAAACAAATCCACATTTTCAGCCTTCTGTTGTACTTACTATAAAAAATATAATCAGCTTCTATTTGTCTACATCATGCTCTGGAACACACATGGACATGTAAATTGTGAAGCAATAAAAGAAAATCATACATGTTCATCTAAAATTAGATTGTGTTAACAAAAAATGAGGTAAAATACACTTTATCATATTTGAATAGGGAAAAAAGCTCACTCGTGGGTTTGAGGAGGTTTTAGTCAGCCCTTTTATGTGTAAATAATAAACTACACTGGTTTAAAAACCCTACTACAATAGGTTTATAATGTAAAAATGTGATGCAAAGGCCTACAACAATTTTGAAAGTGAAAAAGGGAAAACTTTGTTATCAAAACTGCAATATCAAAATGGCATTCTAGGAAGACAACAACCAAAGTGTGACAGCAACATTTATATAAGAGAGGGAGAGTAGTACAGTCACGGAGGGCTCAGCAATGTCACTCTTCCCGTTGCTGAGAAAAATAAGTGCTTTCAACCAATTTGTGCCGAGGCAGAATAAAAATGGCATGCAACTCCAGCCCTTTGATAGCCACTGACCTAGAAATGATTTACTTTACTCTGAGAAAGAAACCGAAAATAAATCAGTTCTCAGATTTGTTACCATTACCAGCACAAACCAGCCTTGCATAATTAAGAGTAAATGTATAATCCTGATTACTTTGCTTGCTGTTGTCATAATAGATTTTGCCTGATATTCCGGTTCTGACTATTAATCCTGATTATAACTGTTGACTATTTGACTAGCAGCATTAACAAGCAAGTGAAACTAAACATTTCACTGTCGACAATCAGGAGAATCAGCAATTCCTGATTGAATAAACAGAAAATGCCTACATGTGATTGACCGGGCAATCTTTCTGTAAATATTATCTAAATTAACACGGTCAAATACAGCTGAAACCTTCCATGACCTAACTCGAGGCTGATAAGTGATAGCTGCAGAGACAATTAGAGTCACTGTTGTTTTTACAGAACAGTTGCAATCAGTCAGTGAATCTGCCTGCGTGTGCTGGAATTTCTACATGCAGAACGACGGCATGCTGAGCCTGAGAAACTGCACCAGAGCAGAAATCTGGTTTGCTGACATGAAATGACGAGGTTTCCCCTGACTCTTCACAGAGACCAAGGTGATGATGTCACCTGTGGGATGGGAGTGTACACAGGGCTCAACAGAAACAAAGACATAAAAAAAAGGAGGGGACATGGCTGTAAACTGGCTCATGTCAAATGACAAAAAAGATTTTAAAAGGCTCACCTTCCAAGAATCCTTTTTGGATAGACTACAAGCCAAACCTAACTTACAAACCAAACTTAAGCATAAACTGGAAGAAACTGGCTTAATGATAGAAAAGGTGCTTTAAACTGCATGGTCTTTATATCTCAAAACCACCCAGCTAGTCTGTCAGGTTTACAAACCTATGTACTATATGCTACAACATGCTACTGTGCCACACCTGACTGTAGTAGCAGTCAGATAGAAGTATATACGAGCTTATAGATATTTTGAAGGCAGAAATTATAATTATTCTATGTATTTTTTTCCTGTCTTTCTAACTGACTTGTTGCTGATCCTGCTTTTAGTGCCACATTAACTGACTGATCATAGGCTATATCCAGTTTGTCTCCCCAGCAGCCAAAACAAGCCTAAATATAGAAATGACAATAAACATCAAACTAAGGCCATCTACTGACTGATGACACTCCACCCAGGAATACATATGGAATCTTCACCTGGTTACTAACTTAAACAATCAGTTACAAACTGCAAAATCTACTCGTGTGGATTTGAAAATTAATCACTGCAATGCTACATTCCTGGCACCTCAGTGTTTGAGATCTGTCACCCAAATTCCAGCATCTGCTTTGCATTAATTTCAGATGATATCAAAGTTGTCAATCCACAAGGTCAATATGAATGAATAAGTGCCACACATGAGAAACAGTGGCAGTGATGGGCAATTAGCTTCACACTGAAGACAACCAGAAGGGGCGGGTGATGGTTTTATTATTGCAAACAGCCAACACTAGAGCCTAAACTGCATTTATGCTGCACTAATAGCTAAAAGTAGCCGTGTGCATCATGATTAGTCCATTCACTGTGAGGCTGCAGGGGGGGGATTAAGGTATCACTTGGCAAGCTGGTTTTAGAGATGACTAAATGCTGTTAAGCCCTGAAACACAGCAGAACACACTGCCAATGATGATAAACCTTTTAAAGCTACACTGGCTGGAATTTGTCAGTAGAATTAAACTTTTTATTGCTTTATTTATTTAGTATTATTATTCCATCCTAAGTCTGTAGTGCTATACCAGAGAAGGGTGTGCCAATCATTTAAAATGAGGCACAACTAGTTTCTTCTGACCTGGGTACAGACAGCTCTCCTCCCACAAGAAGTGAAGAATCAGAACTCAGAAGCAAAACAGAAACCACTTCCTAAAAGGTAGCGTGAGCTCCCTGTTAGAGGAGGAACTGACTCCCCCAAGTATTGAATCTTGTCCTCCACACTAAGGACTAGTTTACTGCTACAGCCTAACTCCCAGAATTTCTGAATTTCAACTTTTTAAAACCATTCATCATCTGCCATCATCAGAAGAACTACAGTTGATATAAAGCACCAATTTATTAGGCGCATAACGTCCACCACAGAATGCTACAAAAGATCTACCACATCCAGAAATAATCAGTATCAAAAGGAAACTCGTCACTGTGACACTGATCAAAATCTAAAAATTTGACTCCAAGTGTCAGAGTATGCAGTGGTGTTTCCCGTAAAGTGCCTTCCTTGTAAGACGCTCATTCTTTAAAAACTGTGTCACCCTCCTCCAAAGTCAGGTACAGACCTGAACCTGGGCGTCACTCATCTGACTTCCCCCTCCCTGGGGGTATGAATGACGTAAGAACAACAGCTTATAGGCCAACTGACACAATCACCCCCCTCATCACTTGCAGGGCTTGTCAGTGCTAGTGCCTTTATGCAGTCTGTAGAAGCCAATGCTAGCTATGAATATTTGCCAGTATATTAGCATAATGCCAATACCAATATCCATTTTTTCCTGGGAGCAATGCAGACAAAACTGTAAAACCCTTCCAGACAAGCCTATCCATGAATATCAATTCTAACAGAAAAGGAAATGTTAAAATGATAAAGACGGGAACTCCACTTTACCATTCTTTCTACCAAATCCCTACAGGTTTCACACTATGACACAATACATATATTATTTTGATATCTTCTAAGGAAAGCCTAGGATTTATTCGACTTTTCAGACCACTATTACTAACCGGATCGTTAGCTTTTCTCCAAAAAGGCCATTTAAGAGAAAAAGCTGAAGAGAAAAGCCTGAAACACACTGACACTGACGACAGTGATGGACATAAGAGCCCCATCACATCATTTAGTGAACCCTTATGGTTTTATGGACACTGAAAAGACACAGTAGCACATTCTAAGTGGAAACAACAAAGAACCTAATTGCCATTATCAACACAAATGGGTCCCACTAATAACTGATGCTTTTAAAAATAAAGAAAAATCTCTGTAACTCAGCATTAGGGCAGTTTGTTTTTTTTGCAGCGAGGTCTGCAAAAAAGGGAGGAAGCATTATGATGGGGTCTTGGATAAAAGCCGGACTGCCCCTTTAATGAGAGTTTGGGAAAGGGGCAAAGGGAGAAGCAGCAGCCTGAGTCGATGCAAATGGCATGCAGAGCTGCTGCAGCAGGACAAACCCACTGACCTGCCTGCGTATTGTGAGGCACCGAAGGGGGGAAAGGCGTTAAAAAGCACCTAATGACATATGTGGTTACAACTCTTCAGCACCGCTGAGACGTTAAGGGTGTGTATGTGTAAACACACCCTCGTTAATGTCGGGAAAATTCAATAATCTGCCCAGCGGCACTCCTGGATGTGACCCTCCACTCAGCCCTCCGTCCCCTCGAGCTAATGTTAGCAGGATATTAACGCAGAAAATCCAGCAACTTCCAAAAGCACTCAAAAACAATTAAACGACCTATTAATGCGATGCGGGCGTGAAGGCTATAAACTCAGACGACAGCTGCGATTTTTTCCCTACTCCGTGATTACTTCAAATTTTCTGCTTTAACATATTTATAACAGTGTTATAAAGCCAACTGAAAACGGGTGGGTATCACATAAAACATCAAAGTAGTCTAGAAAAGAGGAGTGAGAGTGAGTTAGAGGAGTTAACGTGAATTAGTTATGCTGGAATTAAAACCAGCAGACCTTTATATTAAGTTAATGCGTCAATCCTTCGAGGCTAATGCTGGGAGCCCCGGGAACTGATAGGGCGGTTATGTATCTACCCTAGAGAGAAAAGGCGATACCCGGCTCGGCCTGCCTTGGCCCTGATACTCCTCCAGGAGAGGAAAAACCCACCTTTCCCAATCCTACAAGCTAGCATTAGCCGAACACTGTTAGCCTAGCATGCCAGGAGGATGAGTTAGCTAGTGGCTAATGTTAGCAACAGCCTCACATTGGGAAGACTTGTTAAAATTACAACCTTGGCTGATTTAACAAGCCCGTCTTACGTCCCCATCCCAGGTTCTTTTGACTCGGGATGGCGCAGTGGTGCGGGCACCCTTCACCCACAAAAAAGGAGTGCTAGTTTAGCTAATGAAGTACCAATCCCAGTCCAAATACATTCCCCTACCCACCTAATAACATGGTCGCTCCCAGATCCACATACCACGGAGAAGAGGAGAAAGCATTCCCACATTAAAAGGCAATCAAAACTCTTTTCACAATCCACAATCCGTGGTCACTGGCGACTTCCCCAAAATCCGAAGTCAGTTTTAGTTGAAGGTGTAGTCCACTGTAGTCCTACAAGCCCGGTCAGCCCGTATTTTAGTGTATTTTGGTGCTGTTAGTGTGGTATGCGTTGAAAGCCGAAACCTGGCTCTGTATGCTCCCTCCCCTCTCAGCAGCACAGCCAGGCAGTAATGGCGACTTTCTCTCTCTCTTCCACTCCCTCTGCTGACACTATGTCGCTCTACCTTTCCCATTCTCTCTCTTGCTCTCTCCACTGATCCACCTGACTCTCTCTCTCTTATGCCACATGAATAATATGTAACATGAGGTGTAAAATCAATTTCACTGGCATGCAAAAGAGCACAGAGTAAGTTAAAGGTACCCATTGGAAACTGGAATTCTTGTGTTCAAAGCTAATTCATTCAGTTTTATATTATTATGAACAGAATTTTAAGAAACGACCACCATTACCTCCTGTTAACAATTAATTTATGTAAATGTTTAGGATTTTATCAAATGAGATTATAATACCATAATAATATTATTAGTACCAAATTGTCCCATGAGATGGGTCAACCAAGCTAGTCAGTAAGCCTTTCTGTTAACATTGGTGGCTAATCTTGAGGAAAAGGTGACAAAGCTAAAAAGAAATAAGAACAGCAGTATACCAAAAATATATTTTAACACACCCACCGGTAAAATGCTTCCCCCTGGTGGTAAACGTTTTAGTTCAAATCTATAGGGGTGATTACAAAAAGTATCTTTAAATTTCTAAACTTAGCTTTAATAAAATGTTAAACATGCACAGATTTTAACACAACATATGGAAAATATAATTACACTAACAACAAAAATTTTTTAAGACTTTCATTTTGAAAGGAGAAATGTGCAAATATGAAGCTATTTGCATCAGACTAATGATATCATTTAAAGCTAAGTTATCGAAAGCTTTATCAATCGCTTTCTTAATTCACAATAACACAACTGGTAAAACAAGCTGATCAGCTTCAATTTCCTTTGTTCCATAAAAAGGCAAGTATAAAATAGCATCACACCTGACTCTTCATGTCAAATTGAATCTTGATTTTTGTTTTTTATCATCCTTCTCATATTTTTTGCCTTTAAATTTCCCACTGAGTTCTGTGTTGCTTCTATGTTGCAAGTTTCATCTTTTTCTTTTGTTTTATGTTGAGTTTCTCAACTTCACCTGTCACATCTGTTTTATTCCAGATTTTTACATTTCAGTATCTGACTTTCATGTTTTTTTATGTACGTTATGTGATGAAAAAGAGAAATTCTTCAGTATGCTATATAACAAGCAGAGTTGGCTAACTGGATATGGGGTGAGCAATGCGTCCTTTGCTTTCTGTGTTTGCTGCGTCAACCACTGTGGGTTTATGGTACTTAAAGCACTTGAAAGAAAAGTGTGAAAGACACAAGAGTAGCTATAGCCACTTGGACAATAGCATGAAAGCTTTTTGGCAGCCTTAGCATAGTAGAACAGCTGGATAAAGGCTATCGAATTGGCAGAAGAAAGCACAATGAAGAAGTGACACAAAATCACCACATTCTGTCTAGAATCAAAGACTCAATCATAAGCACAAATCCATAAAACTGCAGTGTTTATATGACTCGCATGCAACTGTAGTAACAGAATATCGAGAGATATATTCTCCCTTCTTTGTGATTTTTCACCCTGTCCATTTTTACCTTTCCGTCTTTGTGCCTCTGTCTCGTCCCTGATTCATTTCAATAATCCTCTTTATTGGCATAAATGTTAGATGAACCATGTTGCCAAATCATCTAAACACAAATTCAAATTTCACTCTCGCTCTCACTCTCTCTGTGATGTAATTAGGGATTGTTTTTTCCCAGTGAAAATTGTTTAATCATGTATAATGTGCCTGTGGATTATTCCAACAGGGAATACAGGTTCAGACAGTGAGTGGATGCAGCGTGTCCTCGGGAAGCAGTTGAGGTTAGTCAATGAATTAAGCACTGTTTTCTCTCTAGGTGCTTAAAACAACAAAGTAAATTCAAATGTCCTTTCTGTGGTGTTACTGTGTAAATACTGACAGTAAGTAAAGGAAACTCTGCACACACTGTTGGATAGTGGTGAGCCACGGTTGCACAAAGGAGTCCACACAATGAAAACCCTTCATTTATATTTCAGTTGTTCTGGACTGGGATCAATATGGACTGCTGTGGTTCCAGTGAATTCCCTTGAGTGAAATGGTGTGTTAATGAGCCTCAGAGCTCAGAAAGACTACACTCCCTCTGACAGGAGTGAACGCTAAGCAGGGATGGGTCAGAAAAACCTAGCAGACGGTGAAGTCATATCAATTTATTATAACCAATACAGGGAAAGCCGTCCTTTGTCCTGAAAAAGAAAAAATGCCATTGATCGTGACCTGCATTCAGTTCAGGTGTTTGTTCATCTTTCATTTACAAAGTGTTTCTGTCTCAAACACACTTGGTTTCGAGTTCAGTCCATCACCATTTTGAAAGCTTCCTTTCCAGAGCTCCCATTTCACACCAGTGATGTAACAATGCCACAGGGACAAATCCATCAGAGAAGAAGAAACACTGAAAGCAATTTGTAAACCCAAGGGACACCAGAGACCAGAGTGAAACGTGGCTATAGTGGAAAGGTTTGCTTTAAGTGTCCACAGTTATAGACAACCTGCATGGCATTATACAGGCTCTGTTGCTGTATTTGTTGTTGTTTTTTATTGTAGGCCATATTTTGCAAGCTCAGGCTTGTAAATATAATCTTTTTCCAATTCAAGAACTTAAAGTAGTTATCAGAGTAGATGGAGGTCGTCCTCGCATAGAGAAAAATCATGCTAGATTGTTTGTGCAGCAGCTTATTACAAAAATATATTTATATTTTATTGTTAAACAACCTTTAGCCTTTATTTGAGCCCCAAAATACTGTATTTGTGCTCAAGTACCTTCTAGTAGCAATTATGATGGTGCAAAGGGGAAGGCCTTTTCTTCCATTATGACAAACAAAATACTGAGTAAACAATATTTACACTGCTGGAGAGCCCTGTAATCTCCACCAGTGTGCAAACAAGCATTTTATGTTCATGTAAATATGATGGAAACATCAGTGCACCTATTTTCATTGCTATTTGTCCCCTTTCACTGTTTATTCCACTTACATACTTAACAGAACATAAACAAGACATATGTACAGTTTCTGCACCCTTTTAATGACAAATATGATATAATCACCAAGTTCTTTTAGGTTATGGTTGTTATGGACAACTGCAAGCAGTGTGATGCAGCCTGAAATAATTTTCGGGGGAGTAAGCTGCGAATGTAGTTTAATGTAGTTTTATTATAAGGAAAAGTCAAATTTGCTGAGAAATTTGACTTGTGTGTGTTTTTTGAGAAGTTTGCAGTGACTGCCCACAGGCGACCCCTGCTGTAGTTGCTGATGCTCGATCAGCACCTTCACACAGAATGTGCAGCTTTTTCCACTTTCTTACACTTTTTGTGAGCCTTTCATGTTTCACACTTTTCTGGGGGTTTTTTAAACTCCTCACGGGGCATTTTTTTTCCTCAGCATGCATCACTGTCCTTCATTTCTCTCAGTCGCAAAGTTTGTGTTGCTATAACACAGCATCAAACTTGGCACGAGGTTTCGACTGCAGCAACAAAGGCCTGTAATTGGCTATGTTGGGGGTGGGGGTCGGGGGAGGGTGGGACACAAGAACAAGTACTTCCTCTTTGACTCTTACTGATGAGGTTTGGGTAATCCAGGCAGGATGTAGTGGCATATAAAGAGGCAGGATTTTCATTTTTTTAGATTACAGCAGCATTATTCACAACGCAGTTACTCTAGCCACTTCCAAAGGAACCACAAGGCAACACACAATAATTAAACAGCAAGTACAGCAAACCACAATGTTCCACAAAAAAGAAGAGTGAATGATGTGCCAGATTAAGAAAGAAATTCAATAAAAGTGCATTATTAAATTAAATTCTAAGCTAACTATTCTGATTTAGTCATGTTCTCACAAACTCTCCATTTATTAAATAATCTAACTTCTTTTATGGTTAATAATCAGGAATATCTTGGAGTGCCTGTGATTTAAACCCACCAACTCCTGCTTAAAAGGAACATTACCAATTCACTATTAAAGTGGGGAAATAATTATACGCGATCCCCTTCTGAATTTATAAGTTTTCTCACTTAGAGAAATGACAAAGAAATGAACAGTCTCTGGTTTTTATGGTAGTTTCATTTTCATTGGGTAAAACACATTACATCAACGTTCTAAATTGATTTGCACGTTATTGAATGAAATAAGTATTTAAACCCATCCATCCATTTGCTTCCGCTTGTCCTTTTCAGGGTCGCGGGGGGCGCTGGAGCCTATCCCAGCTGTTATAAGGTGAGAGGCGGGGCACACCCTGGACAGGCTGCCAGTCTGTCGCAGGGTTAACACACAGAGACAGACAACCATTCGCGCTCACATTCACACCTATGGGCCATTTAGACTAATCAATTAACCTATCCACACCAACTGCATGTCTTTGAACAGTGGGAGGAATCCAGAGCACCTGGAGGGAACCCACGCAAAAATGGGGAGAACATGCAAACTCCACACAGAAAGCCTTCAGCCTGATGGTGTAATTGAACTCAGGACCTTCTTGCTGTGCAGCAGCAGTGCTAACCACCATGCCACCGTGCTGCCATGTGTATTTAAACCCCCACAACCCAATTCTGGCATCACAGACCGGCAGTGTGCACATGTGGCACAATCAATCAATCAATTACAGGCACCCGTGAGCTTAACTTTTTATTTGCATAAAACACACCTGTCCACAGAATCAATCAATCACCACCAGGAGAAAGACCAGAGCTGTCAAAGAAAATCAGGGACAAGTTTGTAGACATGCAAAAATCTGCAATGGGCTACATGACCATCGTCAAGAAACATTGTGAGATGGTGACAATGGTTGGTGCGATTATTCAGAAATGGACAAAATATAAAATGACCATCAATCGCCCTGAGGAGGAGTTTGTTAATGATCTGAAGGTTGGGGGGACCACAGTCAACGAGATCACCGTTGGTAACACACTATGCTGAAATGGACAGAAATCTCGCAAGGTCCCCCTGCTCAAAAAGGCACATGCACAGGCCCATCTCAAGATTGCCAGGAGACATCTAAATTATTCAGAGAAGGCTCGGGAG